CTGGTGTAGGTGATAAACGTGTATAATAATAATATATTATTACTTGTGCAATGAGCACGCGCGCACAATGAAAATAAGAGATTACACTGGCACATTATAATATATTATTATTTTATTATRAAAAAAAAACGCGGTATCCTCCTCCACCTCATCCAAATAAAAAGGAGCAAAAGGATATAAGAGGAGTTGATTTTCATATAAATCAACGGGAGACACGCGTTAATGTATATACGCGCTGCAATAATAATATATATTGTACGCACTCACAAGTGCACGCGTGTGCGTACAAGAGGCGTGAAAGTCGGTGGCGATCGTTTAGCGCGCGCGAAATGCAAATTCCCGGGCGCAAATCGTCTCTGACGGGTCGTTATGGACCATTTGCCCTTGCGGCAGCCCCTCCGATATCGTCAAAATACTAAACTTTGATTTCGTGTGTGTAGGTGCTTACTTTTTTTTTTATTCTTTTCGCGTTAACCTCTGTCACCACTCTGGTTATGTTATATGCATCGTAGGCACGCGTTTACGTGAATACCATTATAATCCNTTTTAATTAAATGGATGACAAAAACTTTTAGATCTTCAACCGGTCGTACACACGACTACACACCAGCTACAGCATTTATATTTTTACTGCATTCATACAGCCACCGTAATCAGTAAAATAGGCTTAATTTTTACTGCTATTGTAATAACTAATTCAGTTGAATTTTGTTGTTTTTTATAATTAAAAAAAATAATTTGATTATTATTAAACTAACCTATAATTACAGCTAAAATGTAATTTAAAAAAACGCATGGTCCTTAATATACGCATATTATATATACGTAACACTTAATTAATCGATTTTAGAATTTTGACATAAACGACTGCGGTGCGTATAAGATGTCCCTCATCAAGAAATAACATCAATACTATTGTAATATATTTCACGGCTCGCTAGTGTAGGTCAGTGCTTCTCAACCTTTTTTGTTATAGGGCCCCCCCAAATGTAACGTAAAACGGTCAAGGCCCCCCAACAATTGTATATTATTATTCAACAACAGTAACCTAACATTAGACTTTATCGACAATTATTAATCACACGGTCGGTTTCAAATAAATTTTTCAATTTTTCTATAGTCATATAGCTACGGCCCCCAGGTTGAGAAGCACTGGTGTAGGTGATAAACGTGTATAATAATAATATATTATTACTTGTGCAATGAGCACGCGCGCACAATGAAAATAAGAGATTACACTGGCACATTATAATATATTATTATTTTATTATRAAAAAAAAACGCGGTATCCTCCTCCACCTCATCCAAATAAAAAGGAGCAAAAGGATATAAGAGGAGTTGATTTTCATATAAATCAACGGGAGACACGCGTTAATGTATATACGCGCTGCAATAATAATATATATTGTACGCACTCACAAGTGCACGCGTGTGCGTACAAGAGGCGTGAAAGTCGGTGGCGATCGTTTAGCGCGCGCGAAATGCAAATTCCCGGGCGCAAATCGTCTCTGACGGGTCGTTATGGACCATTTGCCCTTGCGGCAGCCCCTCCGATATCGTCAAAATACTAAACTTTGATTTCGTGTGTGTAGGTGCTTACTTTTTTTTTTATTCTTTTCGCGTTAACCTCTGTCACCACTCTGGTTATGTTATATGCATCGTAGGCACGCGTTTACGTGAATACCATTATAATCCRCCAATAAATTACATTATTTAATTTACCGAAAATAGTCTGTTATAATGATATTGATACATATACATTTTATATATATATATATTATTTCGACTATAAAATTTAAGTTTGTAGATATATTTCGATAACCATGCAATGGGTAGGTAATTTGACTATATATATTACTAACATTTTTTTAATTCCAAAATCATAATGATATAAATAGTTAATCATTTTCTCAGAATGTCAAAATTGTTATTTTTTCAAGCGAAGAACATAAAAATAGTATGCAATAGTGCAAATAGTGTAACAGGATATCAATGTATGTTATTGAATTAACTTAACTCACCATAGAAGTGTTTTGATTATTTAAAGAAAAATTTTAGAATTTCAAACTGAACTCAGTTTATTTTAAATTAAGATATGGTTAAAAGCAGCAGCGCTTGCTAATATATGATAATACTTCATTAAAATCAGACTGTTCGTCTGTTCATTCAAATACAGAAGACGAATAACTGAAAGATTGAACGTTCCTAGTTCTTATAAGATAATATTTAGACRAATTGCATGAGTAGATYCATTTACTTTGAAATCAAACAAAAATATTGTTGGTCCGAAAAACTGAAAGAGAATTTTTATACTATTTATATTGCCATTTCTTAATATATCCGAGGCCAAATCAATCGGACATGCTTCACCCAAGCGACCTCGAATACTCACCCCTTGTCTGCGATCGTCATAACCTTTAATCATTATTTTTATTTTATTTTATTTTTGATGAAATGCAGGCCTGGGCCCAAAACAAAAAGTGATATATAATAAACAACAAATTAAAATGAGTGAATAACAAATATAAAAATGAAATTAACAACTAATAGTGTTTTAAATAATATTAGCAAAGACTCTGCAGTTGAGTAAAATTATAATATAATATATTATACTATTATATGGACGTTGTGCGTCGGTGMTGTGTGATTTGTTTTCGGAGCACGTCGAAGTCGAACGATGGCGGACGGAAAACGGCGTAATCGCCAGACACCGGCCCATAGAGTTTCTGTATGTTCTAATATGTTGTGCAATAATGATTTGTTGTTCATCGGCGTTAAACCGAGATGGGCACCATAACAAAGAAAATGCAAAAAAAAAGGGAGAAAACGCATTCTCTCGTACATCCAACGACGTGCATATACGTGTTTATAGTACCGATGCCCTGCTATGATACGTAAACATATAAATCTGCACCCATCAACAGGACCGTTAGCAGATATACATAATATATAATGATGATGGTGGAGGTGTATAATAATTTCGTTTTATTATTATTATTGTAACCATTGACCCKGTTATTGTTTATAGTATGTTATATTATTGTGTTGCGGCGTACGTTATATCTACTATCTACACATTTTGCACTACCCCTTTATACGAACGTGTTAGCACCCTTGCCTAATCTCAAAAGGACGTTTTTATTTTTCTTCCCCTCAATAATTTTATAATAGTATTATATGCACGTGTGTTTAAAGATTTAGTAATGTATATGCCATATGGGTACTTAAGTTAGTTAACATGTAAGTAGGTATGTATCCGTAAAACCGATAATGTTCAGCTACACTAAAATTATTAAGTATCTAGTAAAAATCAATTMTGGTGATTTATTGTATAACATATTATGTTATATTGGATTGAGTTCCATCAAACTGCTCCTAAAAATCTAATCTTCGGATTGGAAATAACACTTTTGTAATTGACCAATCGGCAATCAATACCTACAATTTTTTAATATAAAGAATTTTCTATAGTTAATCCTTGGAAGTATACAATAAATAGCTTTTTCAATATAATAAAAGGTTTCGGCCACTAAATTTTTGAAATCGTTACAGTTCAAAATGACCCAGACAATTATTTACAATTTCCTGATAAATGTCAAAATAAAGGCATTCTGTAATAATGGTAACTGCATTAAGTTGATTTGTTTATACCGAAGTGATTTCATGAAAAATAATCAGTTATATATAACTGATTATTTATATATTTATATATTACCTATACGCATTTGATTCGACTATAACTTTCCCATGCTATATTTGATACATTTCGGGCGCTTAAAAAGATAACATTAAAAAAAAAAAATCATAACAATTAAAGTGGTTACCTATATAATTTGAATATAAATCTTCATAATATTATAAACTATGTATTTTAGTAAGTACTTATATACAGTTATACACTATTATATAATTAACTATTAATTTTTTTTTCATAAACGACACGACGGCTATTGCTAAAATATTTGTTTATCCACTCACTTAAGACATTTTTATACCATCACATATATCATAGGCATATAATACATCTTCTCAATTATTATATATATGTATCATATACATACCTACAATGTAATATATATATGCTAATATTATATAGGCAGATATTCTTGGGCTATTGTAAAAAAAAAAGTTTTTTAACATGAYATCTACCTATATACATAATAATAATATTATGTGCATCTATATATATTGGTTTAGGTAATTTATTAAGTTTCAATACACTATACAGTTAGATATATTAAAAAAAAAAAAAATGCAGATACCGCGTTTATATAGTTTGTGTCGATAATATCTGCACCGTACATGTACACATAATAATAATAATAATAATACACGCAGTGGAGAAACGTTCTTATTCCAACGACCGCTTAAAACCGAAGCGGCGGCGTCACGCCGCAATCGCGTGTACCCGGCAGACTAACACACACAGTAATAATATACCTACACACATATACATCATTATATACGGTTCGCTCCCTTTAGGAATCCGYATAATAATATAATGTAATTAATTTTTTACGTCCGTTTTCTCGACATCGTATTTATAATATATGAGATGGCGTGTGTGTGCGACGACCGTTGGTAAATAGGATTTAATCTGATCTCCCGGCGGCGGCGGCCGTGTCTTATATACACAGTGTGTACACAGCGAACCGTATTGTATACGAGTGGGCTAGAGTTAATTCTTTAAAATTCAACGGGTGTCTAGGCCTTTCAACCGTCGCCGCCGCCGTTTTCTGGCGGAATTTTTGTCGTAGCAAACAAACACACACGCGCGTGTTACACCCACACGTATCGGCTGCGTTTGTGATGACGTGGGACCGAGAGTAGGTGTCGGATGACATATATATACGAAATCGAAATAAAAATAGACAGAGGTAGTCGTCATTCGGGGGTATTTTTCACTCATAATATATATCTACATTTTGTTTTTCATTTCACACACCACGTTTTATTTTGTTCAACGGTTGTTTTCATTTTTTTTTTCTGGTTTGTTGCAGGCTATTCGCACAACCCCTATAACGGTGTGGTATGCAACGATAACATTTTAGCGACCGGAGTTTTTTCGTCCAAAGAACTTTGGAGGCTTTCCAAAGGTAGGGAACCACAAAAATAATAATAATAATAATAATAGTATATAGGTACARCAATCGTATAGGAGAGGGTTATACGTCCGTATCCAAATATATTCATACGTGCACCCACTATTATGATATAATGCATACATTWATAATAATAATATTAGCTATATATTATACACTTGCAAAATAAAACGAACAACGCGTACCTTCTATACGCCCTATTCCCATTAAACTACACAATATTCCGACGAAATGTAAAAAAAAACATCAAACATCCTACTGACTTATCATAGTCACCATAATCTCATACGACAAGAATTGGTTATCTATCACCATATTTGCAATATTTTATAAGYACATCTACTGTTATGATAATGACGTAAATTACGCAAACACACACACGCGCGCGCGCGTGCGAGTGCTCGACAATCCAAAAAAAACGCATTTTGTCCGTCATCTGAGTTATCGGCATACGTTTCGCTGTGTATACAATATTTAATTAATCAGCAATGAGTATAGAAAAATGTGCATTGTACCTATTTATGTCTGACCTTATCTACTGCAGACGACAGAATGTAAATCTGTAATATAATTTCCATTCAAATTGCGATACGAAAATATTCAAAGTGATTGTCGGTAATAATAACGACGGTTGTTTATAGGTCTCAACATTTAATAATATATTATTATAATATCATACTTTATGGACGAACCGAGTAGAGGTTAGCATAATAATTTAAAATACCATGTTATTATAATATTATGATGTCTTTATCGATCGCGCTCCCCCGACCAGACCGGATCGTCGATGTTAATACTACCTTACGTCATCAGTGTGATCGTAAAATCAAACAAAACTTACAATAATTATTACTAACCGCCACTATTATTATACCTATATCAGTAGATAGCGATGACGGTCATTTCCCGACGACGCTTCGTTCTCGCCGTATACGCATTTCAATCGCCCTCGGACTCTATTAATATCGATTGATATATTAATACATATTATGCACGTGCGGTTTATTATTATTATCATAACTAGTATACATCAACGAGTGCACATGGCGCTCGTAAAAATATAACGCCCACTCGTAAATCCGGTAGTTTTGACGAGAAGAAATAAAATCACGAAAACCAACCGAGAACTCAACGCGTGTTGCGCCAGCTGCAGTGTATTAGGTACTTGCGAACGATTTAAATCGCGATACAAATTGCTATACTAAATTTCCCGATTAGATTTCCCTTAAGTGTTCAGTATCGGTTTTTTTTTTCACAAAAATAATGTACGTATCGATATTGGAGATCGTTGTCGACAACAACATTTTTGTGATTGACGATGACGATGACGTTGCTATTGGATATTACGTAAAATATTAGAACAATTTATTCTAATGAGTAAAAACGCCAGTCATCTATTACTATCGAAATGATTGTATAATAATAATAGCTACAACCAACAAATGCCTGCGATATCAAACAGTGGTGTGGACGAGTTGCAGGGTGATGTAGTTTTTTTTCTATAAAATATTGATTATGATGCATCGTCGAATTCCGATTCGGACCGGATACACACGCCTATTACAGATTAATTTAATAAACGTTTAGCGAACGGTCAACTATGTTTAAGATCGATTCTAATTAAATGAGTTAGAATCTTAAAAAAAATWAATTTAAAAACTATGAAAAATATAAAATAAAATATTCATAATTTATGAATAGTAAATAGCTATAGCATAATGTCACAATAAAACGTTCTACCTACATGGGCTTAAGATAAATTATTTTAATTTTCTCAAAATGAATACTAAACATATAACGTTTTATTAAWTAACGATTCATATTTCACGGTTGAAAAATGCATTTAAATTTTAAGCCATACGTTTTTCGATAGATGTATGTTCGTCCGCGATACTAAAATTGTTAACGTTGAAATACGTCTGCGACAAAATAATAACAGAAATGGTCAAAATATATCTTATACAAAATATTTACATTTTTTTCAGTCTTATTCTTTACGTGGTATAAATTAWAATAATTTAGCAGTCTAATGACTTGCACAGTGTATTGTGCWATTACGAAGGGAGGAAGAAAACGTCTATTTGAATTAATATTACGATATTATATATTATGCTGAACGAATTCAAATCTATGCGACCAAGTCGTATTTCCATAACTAATAATAAAAATTGTACATAATGCATACTGCATACTTGTCGGGATTAAAGAGACGTCTCGTCGAGAACATAATGTTAATTTCGTGCCTAAGAAACACCCTTGAAGTCTGTAGAAATCAACTTCTTTTATAGGTTATAAATTACATCAAAATCGCGTGCAAATATAACAGTAGCTTGTTAGCATTTGGTATACCATATAATGCTATRGTGAGGTACGGTAGTATATTCTGMAATACTTATTGTTGTTGATAATAATATATATTAATTTCATAAGAATATTAAAAACCGTTTAAAATATGTAATTGTGTTTTAGTTAAATTCTAGTTCGGGCTTTTTCAAAAAATTATATTCACTACATATATTTAAATGTGCTAGGTATAGTCTATAAAAATAAAATTATCTCAGATGGTACCACGACCTGCACACCGGTAGTCGCTGACATGATTATTGGGCTGCATACTAGTTGCGGTCATGACGATTTTGAGATAAACAGATATAACAGTTGCGGTCACGCCAATTTAGGTAATATCTTAATTGCGGTCATAGCTTTATTAACTCCAATTCCAGGCGAAATTTATATTATACGATAAACATATTTTTCGATATAATGTACACAGCGTTTATAAATAAAATAGATTAAATTGTATACTCCGATCATAGTTTCGAATATTCGAATAATTTAAACATAAGTATCAACATTTTTAACCATACCTATACACAATAAATAATAGTGTGTAGACAGTCCTAAGTATGTTACATTTTCGATATAAATGGGAAGGAAAATGTTGATTGATACATTTTTCTAAATTAAATAAATAAACGAAATATTAGTTTCATATTTAATTATTATATAAACTATATTAACTATATTATTTTATATTATTTAGTATACTTAGTTATTATTATTTGAGTGACCGCAACTGTATGTAACCTTTTTGATGGGTGACCGCAACTAGTATGTAACCTTTTTGAGGGGTGACCGCAACTAGTACGTAATTTTTGATTATGACCGCAACTAGTACACACCGGATTATTGGACTCGTTAACTTCGAGAACCTTACAATAAATCGCCACACCCATACCTAGCGCCAGATAGGATTTATTTATTATTATTAGGTACCTACTTTACCACTCATGTGGGTATATGCAATTTACTTGCCAGATCTAACAATCATATCAATTACCACCCGATAAAAATGGAGCCAATCGACCTATATTGATCGAAATAATCAAATAAAAACATTTAGATTATGAGCCACAACCCCACTACAGTGGTTATTTTCATGACAGATTTTTGTGTAATCTATTTATAGTTATCGTACAATTTATAAACTTATAAGGTTGGACAAATTTTAATTACTAAGGATTTATTCTAAAACCATGATCGAACAGTTTCAATCCAATAAAAATATATTCCTACAATATCTTAAATTATAGGCTTATTATATGCGCTTGCGTGTGTCTAAAAGTTGTAAGTTCTGCTGTGACTTTTAGACACTTAACGTCTAATAACCAGTGGCGTAACTAAGAGGGATCAGAGGGTACGGTCGCACCCGGGCCCGTTCGTATAGGGGCCCAAATAAATAAAAAAAATGTTTCTATTAATTATTAATAAAAATTTAAAACTAACTATATTTTTCTATTATAATATACTATTGAACAAATCATTTTTTTTTATTAATTCAAAATTGTTAGATACGACCTTTTTCGCTGCGGTGGGCGATATGGGTATGAACATTATTATATCAACGTAGACAGAATAAACTCTGGACATAATTATCAAATAACTCGAACACCGTTTTAATGGTATGAACCAAGTAATAAAACGTTTTCTTCAATATTACCAATTAATATATGTTCAATGAATGAAAATGAACTTAAACATTTAACTACCTCTTTGGTAAACAATTATGAACATGATTTAACAATAGATTTGGTCAACCAAATTATTCAATTTAAACGTTCGTTTGAAAATCAAATTTCAAAATTAAATTTTGTGCATGACTTGGCAAAATTTATAATTGTAGACAATTATTTAATAGCGGCAAGTTTTCCAGATTTATGTACAGCTTGTTTTCTTTTTTGACAATACCAGTGACGGTGGCCACCGCAGAAAGAAGTTTTTCTAAACTCAAAATAATTAAAAACTATCTTCGAAGTACGATGTCTCAAATTCGTCTGTCAAGTTTGGCAATAATATTAATAGAAAAGAAAATTGCGAAAGAAATTAATACATCAGATATTATTTCTACTTTGGCAAATAAGAAGTCCAGAAGAATGTTTTAAGTTTTGAGTTAATTGTTATTTGTTACAACTGCTATAACTGTTTACTAATTTTTTTTGTATGTATATAATATGAAGTATTAAATTAATATCTTTTATTTAAAAAATTTTTTTTTAGTTATTTTAGTAAGGTGATTACACTCCCCCGGATCTTCTTAATATATATACCTGGACGATGGGGGGCCCGTTGAAAATCTCGCTCCCGGGCCCAAATTTTGAAGTTACGCCACTGCTAATAACCTATATGTAATATGTTAATTAAATATAATTGTGCTTAAAAGATGCTCAGAAATTTTAAACGCCATTTAACCTAGTAATTTTCAATTTAAGATTCTTACTTTGTAATCGATTAATTCAGAGCCCATCACGGCACAACGTCGAAAACTTTTGAATCTACGATGTTTTTTTTAAGTTTATGAAATATATATTATTTATCTTTTCGCGTATATTAAAACATTTCGCACAGTAGGCGACTGCATATTATATATACATATCGCCTCCTCATAATAGTGTGTGCAGTGTGTGTGTGTGTGTGTGTGTGTGCATGTGCCTTAAACGCGTGGTCCCTACCCCCTGCCCACCCGCAGCACAGCCCTTGGCGCGTGCGATCGCTGCCACCGCCACTGTAAAGGAAGATCGCCTGTTTCAAAGTCATAAGTCATCCATTGGTATCCGCAACATTTGCTGGCACACAACATTGCCCCTTTTAAGGATTAGACCGAAGAGAGACGGCGCACACACACACACACACATGCTCAGATATATATATATTTAATATTTATCCGTGGGTAAAGGGGTGACGTATCATTTTCCGCGCGCAMACACGTGCGACCGAATTGTTCGGATGTAAAACCCGACAATTGTTCGCATTTGGTATATAATAATGTAATAATACGTATAGTAAGTTCATAATATACTCGGTGGCRGGGTATATCTACCGCGAAATATATGACGATCTCCGACGATGCAAAGATGAGAGAGGTATGGAGACTGCGATTCTGAGAGAGAAAGAGAGTGGCCGAGGGTGATGGTGTGGGTGAAAAAAAGGGGTACACCGGGTAAAGACTGGACGAGTTCGCACGGTTTCACGGTTAATTCCTATAATGGTCAAAGTCCACCCCAAGTTCGTCAGTTTTTAGTTCGTCGTCGTCTTCGGGTCATTGCGCGCGCGACTTATACCGTCTTTATACCGCATTCTCGTTTTCCATAAATATAATATAATATATATAATACATMAAATGACCAAATGATTGTACACCGCGATATTGACTACAATGCCGCACTATATTATATATATAAATTGTGTGTGTGTGTTTATATAATATTATTCATAAAATATTATAAAATAATTCGTTCAATTGAAACGAAAACGTTACTCTATTAGATTAGGTAGGTATGTCAAACAATATATACTGTCAAGGTATGTATTTAATAATATGAAAAACAGGAGCATTRTTGCCACTATTATATGCCTCATACATAGACGCGGCTGCTATACGATTGCACGCGGTCCTTATCAACGGTACCTTTTTAGATGTACGATTGCGTGTGCTAAATTATTTTTGCTTCTAAGCAACGTTGCCAAATATACAGATTATAGGTGCACGGTAAATATCCGATTAAGTTCCGATTGTGGCGATCCGTACGTTCTTTATTAGTTTATTACTTATTATTGCCGATACCAGACAAACTTTCCATCACTAAGAAGTAGGTAATTATATTTTAGATCATACTTTTATATTGGATCTTTTATCTTTATAGTAAACCCCCTCGGGAAAATGCGAGTTGGGTCCCGAGATATTTGATCCCTTAAAAAAAACACGAGTTGGGTCCGCGGTAATATTATCAGTGCTGGTCGCACACGCCTTCCGCCGGCACTGAATAAATTGTATATTATTTTAATACGGCGTTTAAATAATTATTATCATTATTGTATAGATGTGGCCTATAACTTTCTAGTAAATAGTAATAATGTAGTATGTACTATAATAATAAGTTTTATGCTTACAACAGTAAAGTTTAACTTRGTAAATGTTTATACAAACCAAAATACTCGTTCAATTTATGACTTATGAATATTATGACTTGAAAAAAAAATTAATAAAATTGTTTACTGAGATAAGTTAATTTTATTTTATATCTTAACATTAATTTTAATTAATTTTAGTTAATTATTTTCATTAACTTGCCCACCTTTGTATAAAATATACCGGGACCCAACTCATATACTCCAAAAAATATACCGGGACCCAACTAATGTACTCCATAAAGTATACCGGGACCCAACTCGTGCTGTTTTTAAAATTTGGGACCTAACTCGAGTTTGTCCATCCCCTCGGCCTCATCTAAAAAAATAAAACATCAGAAAACTTACTTAAGTATTTAGCCATAGTTGAAAATAGATATATAAGGGCTTTATAATTTAAATTATTTTATCACGAGTATAACGATATTTTTATCGAATACTTTTTTACTTATGAGGTAGACTGAGTGTGAATATAAAGTATCTGTTATTTTTTGTAACTATTTGTGCTATTTGTAACTTTTTTTTGCTATTTTTGACTGATTAGTTGTCGTATAACGCACGTTTATAATGTTGTTAGAAAAAAATACAATAACAACATATAATATATGACAAATAACAAATGTTYTTATAATAATAATTATTTTAAATTTTAATAATAAGTTGGCAACGTCGCATCCAATTTTACGCGCAAATCGTACGCTTTTGAATAGTCAAAAGCATGTTCTTTGTTATTCCGGCACCGCTCGCAATCGTACTCCACCGATAGACGCAAATTGTAGGAGAGGTAAGGGGGCTTATCTCCCAAATTTATTAAGGGCCCACAAACTATTAATATCTCAATAATATTGAAACAGTCTAGAATTACCGATGTATCATTATTGCATATAGAAAGGGATATCATTCTTGATAGGAAGTGAAAAAGTTCTCAATATTTTTTCACGAAAAGATAGAATGTTATCCTTCAGCTAAACTACCAAACAATTGTATTTATATATACTTTTATATCATATATATTAAATTAAACATATTATGTATTAAAAATTAATGTATAACATGATGGAAATTTTTATTTAAATATTTAGGGAATAATGCAATAATATAATATATTTACATTATATATAGGTACTTAAAAATATACCATTAAAACTTTGTGTTAAATTTTAAGATACTATAATAATAATTCTGGTTTAACATTAGTACCTGCCCATGGATTTTTTTAATGTATAAATAGTCAGAGCGTAACCCCCTCACCCCAACTRAACCGATTTACGCCTATGGTCCTATATAGRTACTACGTWACACGATATAAACTTAGAAAATCAATACATGGTCTAAACGTATTGAAATAAAATCGCGATTAGAAGTTGTATTGATAAATTTGATAYAACTATGTTATAGTTCCAATACAAATACGTTGAATATTTTAATATCACGATTATTATACTTTTAGATAAYATTATTTAGGTAGGTATTTTGCATTRATATTACATATTTCAAAGTGTATATCTTTTTGATGTACATATTTTTAAATACAAATATTCATTCTCTTTTACAGCGTCTATAATTCAAAATCCAAACGGTATGCCACCCATGAACATTATCAAAATCGAAAACCCAGGGTATTATTGCAGCAGCTTCACCCCACCAGGCGACCACTCATCCATCATGGCATCTGGCAGTTACAGTGAGTATAAATAAAATAATAATATGATAAAATTATAATGCACTAATTTCCTATTTTTCCGTGAGTATACTCTGGTAGAATTAACAATTTAAAAACATTACTACAATATTACATCCCACTGCACGTAAACTTGAATACCGCGAATAATAACTGTTAGAAGATAGGTATATTCACTGTGGATAAAAGAGAAAGGGTCCACATTTTTCAAGAACCTAATTCACAAAAACGTCCTGTACACTTATTAAGAACATTGTTACGACTAGCAGTGGGTTATGACCCCTCTGAAATTTTTTAATTATACAAAAAATCTTTACCACCATTTCAATACACAGAGTCGATAAATTTTTGGTAATTTTTAATAGATATAAATTAAATTGTTGATTTATTATTAATTATAATTAATTATAACTAATTATACAAAAACTGTAAAGAAAATTATCTAAATTGTTCATTATTGTTTAAATTATTTGCTCGTGTAAAACCATAACCAAAATAAAACKCTGGGTGCGCTACAAACGAATAGTTAGTAATTTTGCAGTTTTTCTTTAATACGTGTTGTACTGAGAAAATTGAAAAGTTAACAGTATTATAAAGTGTACCATATTTTGTTTCTTATGGAAACATGTTCTGCGGAAAAATATTACTAGTAACTGTCATTGTTGAAAAAAACATTTTACGGTATAGTAAACTATATTGGTGCGTAGTATAATAACAATTGTACAAATGTTTAATACACATTATATCTCGCTATATCAATGATAACATTAAACAGGGAAATTATGTGTCTTTGAAAACAGTTTTCCACGCGTCGAAAGGTTCGATTTTCACTGAACATATTATTAAAGAATATGCCCTATTATGTATGTTACTATGTTAGTGTACCTAGCGGCGTGTGTATAAATATTGCTCTCTATCCGGCAAAAGTTCAGTTGCGCGTTTGTCTCACAAAAATTAAACTCGTTGTGTACAATGTGTACATTGTATATATATATATATTATATACATAATAATGTACATCGATAATGTATCAACGTAGAATTTAGGAAAATAAACTGTAGGTATATTATATTTCAATGMAATGCGTATAATCCAGTCATCGCGTTTCCTCGTTATTTTCCCACGTCTCAATATATACATAAGCACAATCATATAATAATATATTAGGCGTGTGACACGATAGCTGATGACGTATGTTATCATACGYGGGTATCAATCCGGTGTATAGCGGTTGGATCGTTCGGAGCGGTGGATATCTATATTTGTATAATAATATAAGTATTAAGTGTGTGTGTGTACCGCGGTTAAGTCTGCAGAACGATTTTTATCTCGTGCGACCAATAGGTATAATAGTTATATCGTCTGCGTCCATGTACATAATATACATATATAATAATATAGCGCCGTAGTGTGAAAAAAAAGAAAAAATGTTTCCAAGATGAAGGATAAATGAACGAGTTCTTCGCATTGTTCGCGATTTCCCTTATTAGGTATCMAAATGGACGATTTRCGAAAGCCACCATTTATACAATATGTATCATACATATACGTATCTTACATAGTTACATATAAATATATAATATAATATATTTTATTATGTTAAGCGCATTATTCGCATTGCCTTTATATTATCTTGTTCGTAATAAATTAACCACTTGGCTATTAAAACTAGGTGAGTAATAATAATAATATAAATAAATACCATAATATATTATACCATTCAACTTATATTTTACACATGATTTCTACAATTAAGAAAAAAACGCACAAATTAATAGGATACGTTTATAAATTCGTAATCCAGATGAAAAATGCTTTTTAATAATAGTAGCCTATAGTATCTAATAAAATGTGAAAAATTCCTGAAATATTTGAAGCATTTTTATCACTACATTACAAAAGTACCATACATACCCTCACAATWTACACACACCATTTGCGTAACCTTTAACTAAGGGGGATGGGGAGGGGGCTCTGCTAAAACTTGCCCCCCCCCCCAATAATATCCCTTATTAATTTTAAATAATACACGTAAAATTGTACTTTCAATTTTGTCACTTGGAAAAAAAGAAATTAATATTTTAAAAACTCTAAAAGTTTTCAAGTAAAATAAATAAGAGATAAAGATTGTCTTTGATAAAATATATATTTTTAGAAAGGGATTGTTGAGTTTAAAGTTATGCTTGGGGGCTATAGCCCCCTCCCCAGAATTTTAACCCTAGTTGAGTCACTGATAAGCACATTCCAAATTCTTACTTTACAGAATATACAGGGTGTAACAGTACTATTTGACAAATATAGTAATATATGTAATGGAAATTTGTTGAATAGTCCTGTTACATCTTATATATAATATATGTGTGCCGCACTGTAGTATACTGCAAAATGTACTAAGAGCTAATTTAAAAATAAAATGAAATATAATGAATAACGTATAGTTATATAGTTGTTGGTTTATGCAATTATGTCATTATGTTGTTTCCGATAGGATAGGTGACGTCCAGTTGTTTATCCCATGCGTTTTATTAACGTTAAATAGAAAGCGATTGTTTTAATTAAAATTGTTATAATTCATTTACAACACTTTATACATTTATTGAAACGGTAAAGCCACAAATCGCGACTTTCCGCTATTGGGTCTGCATGTCACTGTCGCCTATATATTATGTGTAGTGACCGGTAATGGAAATAGTATGTTCCCATATCGAACATGACAGTAAACGTTGTGTGCGATGTTAAATTAGAAAGTCGCGTATGCACTCAGGCCGTAGAGTGAATGAATCAATATATTAGGAATAGAGATTATCACTTTAAACAATAGATATAAGTATATTATAATAAGTGTTTAATAATAAGCTATTAAGGCTGTATTTTAGTTTCATTGAAAACGTTACAGATTGACTTAAAAACTTGTAAGCATACTTTGTATTTTGTAGGTACCTATATACCTACCACTGTAATACGTCTCAATACGAGTAGTATTACACGGAAAACTTTCGCAACGTGTTTATCTTCATGCATAAAATCGATTATTAAAATTGTTTTTCCTTAGGCCCGATGTCGATTCAGAGGACACAGAGCCCGTTAAACGAGCCCAGAATTAAACGAATGCGGAGAATGAGCTCTGCCGAAGATACCGAAATYGATTTGGGCGGCCAGAGAGATAAATCCAGTTCAGAGATCACATACTACGGCCAGAGTCCAGCATCCCTATCTAGTCAAACCAGTTGGCACTCGGACATTGACCATGGTATATTTTTATACATACTTGTTAATTTTAATAGAAAGCGTATCAGCATTCTATAGTAAACACGCATTAATTGATGGATTGCTGTGCCCTGCAATGGTAAATGTTTTAATATCAACACATATTATTTTTGTGTAAGTGTTTATCATCATTGAAGATATCCTCGCACTAATCAAATTCAGACAAAAAAAAAACACAATGGTATCAATTGTACAGTATTAAAATAATTGTGTGTCACTGCAGGTGGTACTTAATTGAAAAAAAATTCAACTAGCTTTTTTTTTTATCGAGACAAGTTAATACTTTACTCAATCTTAAACTTTTAGGGTTAAATATATTCTTTTTCAACTATTTGCTTATTATAGCTTAACGGCTTAACGACTTAACGCTGACTCAACTTCACCAATTCGAGTTAATTTTTCATTTATTTGCCTACATTTGAATATCATATTATATTTATAATATCACATGAACTTACATAGGTATTCCTGGCCAACACTCAGGAAGCATAGCGTCCTTGGCATCCGCTAACTATTACGGTTCGGCGACATCGGGACCCGAACAACATAGTCCGGCCAAGTACCCGGAGAACGGGCACGATACGCTTTCGGACTTTGTCACATTTGTGTGTCAAGAAGCGGAGAGCTCTCAAGGCGCACAGGTATGTAATGTCGATGCATGTAAAATAAATAATATGTACTTACGATCATTATATATTGTGTAAATATTGTACTTCAAAATATTAAATTTTTATACACATATTCCATTCAATGCCCGATTTTCAACATCATATTCGACAATACCAAAACATTAAACAAACATATATTATATCCTTAATAATGGCTGATGATAAAATATTAAATATTCAAGTTCACAATACTCGTCAATAAATAGAAACCTTGCTATTTTTCCTTTTATATTTATTTTGTAAACTGTAATCTAACTTTGTTATTATAATTCATGTACTAAATACGCCGTATCAATCGAATATGTATGAGATAATTAGATATTATCAATATAATTTTAATGCTTTTTTTGTCTACAGCAAACTATAAGAAACATCCAATTTAATGGCATCCATTTCTTATAAAATATTGTTGAAAAAATCACATTGAAATATTATATTGATCTCCCATAAAGATAATTAAGGTTCTATGAAACTTTTGAAATAGTCTGAATTATAGTAATATTTAAAATTTATATTAAAACAATTTTAGGTCTTCTAATCTTTTTAGATTCTTATCTAGGTATATCTAGAGTGATGTACTAAGTCCAAGAAATTGTTGGTATATTCGGATGGTTGTAACTTGTAAGTTTAAAGATAAACATTTTTCTTCACACATACCTGTGTATTATTTATACTGATTTTTTTTTTCTGAAAAAGGAATATTATCATACTGGTTTAATTCATTTATTTGAATTATTCTTCCGCCCCGTTTTGCTATTGTTGCATTTCATGTGTATAATATGTTTTATAAACATTTGACAGTACATATTAAATCAGTGAAACATGAGATTTGTTTACTATTAGCAAATCGAATTTGTGATGACAATGACGATAATGATAAATACCTATTTGAAATTAAATGTCACGTTCATAAATAAGTCCAATACTAGTTAATTTTCCAATGGTTGTTATACCTCAGAATTTAAATATTATATTGGTCAATAAAATATATACCTAATAATATATTAAACTTGTTAAATAATATAATACATGTTTGTTTTTATTTCCCCTCATGTAATTGTTAAATCTATCGCCATTAGTCATGTATAATATTATGTACATAATATAGCAAGTGTATATTTTATTGATTTCATCTAATAACTATTATTAATTACCGTTTACTGTTTTTTTTATGCCCCACGTAGGGATGGGCCTATGGAAATCAGGTTTTACATTAATTTATACATATTTATATATTAATATATATATTATACAGTAAAAATATTTTAACATTTTAATATTAGGTTAACACTCGGTTATTATGCCATCTCCGACATCGGTGTCGGAAAATATTAGAATTGTATAATATACATATAGAATTTATTAAATTATGTACTGTCTACAATTATATAATATTTCCAATGATGTGTACTAATTCACAATATTTTTTTCTCTATTGCATCGTAGGCGGGACCTACAAGGAGTCCAAAAATGGCCCAATATTATCCGAGCACAATGCTACCACCACCTCCTCCACCGCCCATGGCGCGGCCAGTAGCCATCATTCGATCTACAGGTAAGTTTTTACTCGATTAAATAACTTATACTAAACTTTGTAAACTTGTACTTAACTTTGTTCTAAAATAATTTTAATATAATATTTTATAATATTATAATTTAGTTACTTAAGATCTAAGTAATATAAGGATCTACCAATGTCCAAATAGTACTTGGTCAAGTAATATGTATTATGTATTCTTGAGCTATCGATCAATCAATCGTGGATATGAAAACCACGAACAGCGCGATGTATAACTGTTGGAAAATACAGAATTAGTTCCAAAGTCAAAATAAAGTGTACGAATTGGTTCATCAAAAATTACTTGTACAGTAAATTATGATCATACAACTGTTCGTATTGGTCCCCATACCAATACGGATTTACTTAAAAGGACGCTACACCCGCATACGTTGTCTCCGTCTTACAAGTGCGTAACATAGCAAATTTTATGCTCAGCAGATCACGTTTACCTCCGTTAGTTTAAAATTTAGACTAAATTGACCTCTTACAAAAATAAAAGGAAACATTATTATCGAGGGCATGACGTAAGCCTTTTTATTATATTTTAATTTTAAAGTGAGTTATGTGTATTTTAAAATTTTCAATTGTTTGTATATCTTAAAATACACATAACTCACTTTAAAATTAAAATATAATAAAAAGACCTTCGTCATGCCCTCGATAATAATGTTCCCTTTAATTTTTGTAAGAGGTCAATTTACTCTAAATTTTAAACTAACGGAGCTAAACGTGATCTGCTGACCATAACATTTGCTATGTTACGCACTTGTAAGACGGAGACAACATATGCGGGTGTAGCGTCCTCTTAAAAATATACCTAATTAAATTAATGATCTGATGACTGCGATTTTCCACAAAAATTTAGRTGACATTTCATTTATTTCAAGATTAAGTACATATTGTTGTGAATTATGACGGAAAACTCATTTCAGTTTTACTCCACCCAAACAAATATTTATTTTATTATTTGAAAAAAGATCTAATTTGGAACACATCTTAACCAAAAAAGCACACATAAAATAAATTAAATAGAATTTAATTGGTGAACAAAAAATAAATTAAAAAATGAATGATTGTCAAATTTACAATTTACAATTTGTAAAATCTGGATGTTGTAAATGTTCCTACCGTTAATCTATACCGATTTTTTTTTTATTATTGTTAATTATTTTAATTGACTTCGTCTTGTTTTATATTGCGTGAGGGTAGACGTCAGAATGTTAAGCTACTATTGCGTAGGTACCTATTTAATTTACCATATTTTATGATTACTAGATATGCTATAACTTATAGCTCACATTGATTTATATCTGTATTGACWAGCTACACAAACGAGTTAGTGGTTAACGTTTAATATYAATACAGCGTATGTAGTGCAGCCTCTAATACCTATTRACTACCTGGGAACTGATTCAGATATTAGAAACCCACTTTATAGGGCAACCCGCACCCGAAAATTGCGTAATACCATTGAGTTTATGTTATATCCCCCCCAATGATAATTCATAGATATTTAATAATAATTTTTTTAAATAAAAATATTTAATAATTATTTTTTTAAATAAAAATATTTAATAATTATTTTTTTAAATAAAAATATTTAATAATTATTTTTTTAAATAAAAATATTTAATAATAATTCATATCATTCTTATATCGTTCTCGAAGAAATTACACGAGGGATGTGGTTGACAATAATTTTGCAGCAATTAAATATGTAATGCATTTAATTTCTGTCTGAAACTTATAAGCATAGACTAGTGGTGTTTCAAAGGTTACCCGAAATCTAGCACTCGGCAATCGATTCCGTAGGACATGGCACATTGCCACCATACCGCACACTACGACGAACACGTTTATATTGTACACCATGGCTATATAGGCCTTTTTAAGCTTCCTATTTTTCTTACCTTCGAGCACCGTACTCGATCGATAAGGCGCAATATTATACAATAATAATAATATATGCACAGCATTWA